GAGCGGATTTGGTCAATCGATCAACGATAACCCAAATAGCATTGTTACCACCTTAGATCCTAGGCAACCCTGTCATAAAATCCATGGTAATATGTTCCCACTTCCACTCGGGAATAGGAAGAGGTTGTAACTTACCTAAAGGTCTCTGATGTTCAACTTTCACCTGCTGACATATCAAACATTGAGAAACATACTGAGCAATTTCCCTCTTCATATTATTCCACGAAAAGCTCCTCTACAAGTCTTTATACATTTTAGTGCTCCCTGGATGTACAGTATATCCTGAACTATGAGCTTCTCTCAGGATTTCTCTCCTGAGCTCTAAGTCATTAGGCACACACAACCTCTCTCCAAATCTCAAGGTTTCATCTTTATGCATACAAAATTCCATCTGTAGTCCTATTTCCATTTCAGCCTTAAGTTTTTGCAACTGAGGATCTCTTTCCTGAGCATCTTTAATTCTATCAATCAATGTGGGTTGAACTCAAAGGTTTGCCAACTGCACTCCATGGTTATGCCATCTAATCTTGATATTCAACCTTCGCAAGTCCTCCAAGATATTCTTTTGGTCAGTGACCAAGGTAGCCAAATTACTGGGGTCTTTCTACTCAAGGCATCAGCCACTGCATTGGCTTTTCCTGGATGATAATTGATAGTCAAATCATAGTCCTTTAACAGTTCTAACCATCGCCTTTGCCTCATATTCAATTCTTTTTGAGTGAAAATATACTTTAGACTTTTATGATAAATAAATATCTCACATTTCACCCCATACAGGTAGTGCCTCCAGATTTTCAATGCAAACACCACTGCAGCCAACTCCAAATCATGCGTAGGATAATTCTGCTTATATGGCTTCAACTGCCTAGATGCATATGCCACTACCTTATCATTCTGCATCAGGACACAACCCAAGCCCATCTTCGATGCCTCACTATAGATGGTAAAACCTTCATCTCTGGACGGAACTATAAGTACTGGAGCACATAGCAATCGACTCTTTAGATCCTGGAAACTCTTCTCACAGTCATCATACCATTCAAATTTAACCCCTTTTTGTGTTAAACGAGTCAAAGGCATAGAAATTCGGAAAAATCCCTCAACAAACCTTCTATAATAACTTGCTAAACCCAAGAAGCTACGAATTTCAGTGACACTAGTAGGCCTATTCCACTCTACCACCGCCTCCACTTTCTTGGGGTCAATAAACACCCCATCTCTAGATATCACATGACCCAAAAATAATACACTCTCCAGCCAAAATTCAAACTTCTTTAATTTAGCAAATAATTTCTTCTCTTTTAATATCTGCAACATTATTCTCAGATGTTCTTCGTGCTGCTCTTTACTCTTCAAGTACACAAGAATGTCATCAATAAAAACTACCACAAACTAATCTAAGAAGGGTTTAGACACTCTGTTCATTAAATCCATAAAAGCTGCAGGTGCATTAGTCAACCCAAACGACATCACTAAAAATTCATAATGCCCGTATCTAGTTTGGAAGGTTATCTTAGGTATATCTTCTGCCTTAACCTTCAACTGGTGATAGCCCGAATGAAGGTCAATCTTAGAAAAGACTTGTGCTCCTTGCAACTAATCAAATAGGTCACCTATTCTAGGCAAAGGATATTTATTTTGAATTGTTACCTTGTTTAACTCTCGATAATCAATGCAAAGGCAAAAACTACTATCCTTCTTTTTCACAAATAAAACGGGCGCACCCCAAGGAGAAACACTAGGCCTAATAAAGCCCTTATCTAGTAACTCTTGTAATTGTTCTTTCAACTCTGTTGGGGTCATCCGATACGGAGCCTTGGAGATAGGACCTGTATCAGGTATCAATTCGATGGCAAACTCAATCTCTCTATCTGGTGGCAACCCCGGTAACTCTTCAAGAAAAACATTAGGAAATTCTTTCACAACTAGAATATCCTCTAACTTCAATTCAATCTCACAAGTATCTCTCACAGAAGCTAAATAGCCCTCACAGCCATTCCTTAACAACTGTCTAGCTTGCAAAGCTGAGATTACCAAAGGAGGAGTGTTAACTCCACTACCCACAAAACAAAATTTTGGTTAATTAGGAACCTGAAATGCCACCCTTTTGCCTCGGCAATCAACAAAAGCATAATTGGTTGCCAACCAATCCATTCCAAGAATTATGTCAAAGTCCCGCATATCCAAAATAGTCAAGTCTACAAGCAATCTCCCGCTATCTATACTAACCACACGAGATTTGCAAATTAAGTCAGCAACCATAACACCTCCTATTGGGGTTTCAACACATAAGTCAATCTCTCTAGGGACACATTTCCATCCATATTTCTTAACAAATGCCACAGACACAAATGAGTTTGTAGCTCCAGAATCAAATAACACATGTGCATAAATGGAAGACACTAAAATAGTACCTGACACCACCGTGTTGGAAGTCTGAACATCTTGCTGTGTGAGTGCATACACTCGACCTTAAGTCTTTGGCTTATGACCTCCATTTTTCTTTTGATTTCCTGAAGACACTCTGTCTGTTGAAGTTCCTTTATTTGTCCATGCTTTCTGTTCAATTTCACGCCCCTTCCTGTTAGGGCAATCAGCTATCCTGTGCCCCTGTTGCCCGCAAGAGAAACAAGCCCCAGTATTCCAACGACACTCACTATCCCGATGGAATCCATTACATCTAGTGCATTGTCCCCGATCATTTTGCTTGTCAACACTACCACCCACAGTTTGACTTCCCTAACTCCCAACCGAAGAAGTGTTTTGTCTCTTAGCATTGCCCTTCGAACTGTTGTTAGTTTCGAAGTTGGAAGAACTAGGCCTCTTCTTATAATTCTCTTCTTTCTCTTCTTGGGCTCTAGTGAGGCCACTCTCAACCAGCAAAGCCTTATTCAACACTGCTCCAAAAGTAGGTAACTCAAAAGGAACCACCTGTTGCATAATGTTCGTTCTTAGCCCACCTTCGAACTTTTGTGCTCTGCTATCCTCGTCTGTTTCAAATGCTGATGTAAAATTTAGACAACTTCGTAAACTCGGCTTCATATTCTGCAACCGTCTTATTCCCTTGCTCCAGCTTCGAAAATTCCCTCTGTTTTTGTAGACGAACACTCCTAGGAAAGTATTTCTCATTGAATGTATTCTTAAACCTTTCCCATGTATAGGGGTTGGCATCGTGCTCGTGTATGCACTTCTCCATCTGCCACCAATCATTAGTTATCCCTTGTAGCATAAACGTAGTATAGGTCACCTTCTGATCATCCGTACACTCAAAAACGGGAAATAACTTTTCCATTTCTGTCAACCATTTTTCAGCCTCCAAAGGGTCTGTGGCTCCGTCAAATGCCAAGGTTATCTTCTTAAACTCAATAATGTTATAACGTGGCCTCGGTTGTGGCCCAACACTTGACTGTATCCATTGTTGTTGCTCTATAAGTCTAGTCAAGTTATTCTCTATGGTGGTTTGTTGTTGCACCACCCCGGCCAAAGTCTCAAGCACTTGAACCATTCCAACTGGATTGGGGATTGCAGCTTGTTCTTGTTGTCCCAACTCTTGCCCTTGATTTCCTCCGACTACTTGAGAACCACTACCATTAATAGTCACATTCTCTCGCCGATTGTGATTACCAGTCCGTCGATTCGTTTGACCCTGGCGTGTATTCCTAGCTATATTTGCCAATGTCTCCTCATGTTCCATTGCAACCTATATGCATCAATAATAAAACCTCATCTTATTCTATTCTTAAGTCCCCATAACATGTAAATAAAATTAACATTATACCAAATTATAAGCGTTCCCAATCCTATATCTACCCAATCTCACCACTATTCTATACCAGCGTTTAAAATTACAACCTAGCTCTGATACCACAAAATTGTCACGCCCCAAGCTCCGTGACAACGCCACACACTCATTTAAGTGAGCATGCAAGGCTAAGAGTCCAACACATAACCAACAATGTAAAATACTCAAATTAAATCCTTAATTATCATAATGCTAAAATCCATAAAAATAGATAATTCTTATCATACGAAATTGTCCACCAAGTCCACTAATATAATCCACTAACAAAATAATAATCCAAGTACTTAAATCATAGTCTTACTCTCAGCACTCCCACAAGTAAAAAAAAAAAAAAAAAAACCCCCGCAGCTCTACTCTTCAGAATCTGAAAAAAATAAAATAAGGGTAAGCTAGAAAGCCCAGTAAATAACCAACCATCACTGCTACTTGGATCAAGTATACAAAAAAAAAAAAAATAGTCGATAACCAACAAATATAATTTTTGCTACAATTCAATAAATGAACAATTATTTGTAAGATGGTTTCATAGCTAAAAATAAACAATGTACAATACATTTTAATTGAAAATCCAACAAGATAATTCAAAGTAAATTTGTTGTTCCAATCGATGGTTCAATATTCAGATGGTTCAATGATTTGATTCACAAAACCCAAGTCTTAATGACTACGGTCACTTAGCCTGTGACAAGGCCCAAAACCACACATAGGCCGGGGGTAAAGCCCTAAAAGAAACTAGTTTTGTGCCAATAAATAACCCCCATTAGCTAGGGTCCAAATCGTAGTCTGACTAGAGTGATGTTCAAAATTCAAACAATACACAACTTTTAAATAAAATATTCGATATTTTCAAAATAAATCTTTGGTACAATTTTCAGACTCATTTCACAAAATATTCAAATAATTTTCATAATAATATTCAATGCTGTTTTATACTTGACCTATATTTTATTTTAAGAGAACATGAAGGCTATAAATAAATATTTATAATTTTAATCGATTCAATAGGATTAAAAATGATCCAACAGTGATAGAAGGTTACTTACCTCAAACAGTTAAAATAATATTTCCTAAGCTAATCTCAAATTATCAAGATCCACCTCAATCTCACAAACCGTCTCGATCATCTACACTTCTATAGTGGAGATCTAGAAGAGATATTGAGAAAGTGTGAATGATGGAAATATAGTGGCGGTGAGAGATGGATTTGTTTCTTCAAGGCACAAACATTGAAGATTTGGATATCTATAAATCTGGACTATGTGAGATAGGAATGGAGGTTGACACCAGTGGAAAGTGGTTGAGGTACGAATGCCTATGGATAACGAGTTATGAACGTCGGTGGATGGTAAATGAGGCACTAACGATAGAAAACCCTAGAAAGAAATAATTGTAAGAAATAAATTTTTTTCTTTTACATAAAGGGTTATTAACCTAATTTCTTAAAATTACTAAATTACCCATACAAATTAATTTTACTACTACTTTATCCAAAAATAATTCTACATATAACTTGGGTTTTACAGACTGACTATGTTAAAACTAGATGATAAAAAACTGACAGGCTCCATTTTGCCTCACTTCAGAAATCTGAGCTTTCTTAAGGTACTGTTGTTGTGTAACAATAGTTTCGGTCATCAAATCCCCTCGGAACTCGGTCATTTGTAGAGATTGCAAGTATTTTCTCAATAATTCAATCAGTGGTGAAATTCCTAACTATATATCTGCCCGCTCTAACCTCATTGTCCTGGAATTTTCTGTCAATAAGCTGATTGGGAAAATTCCTGTGGGGCTTGGCTCCATGAATACCCTCCAAAGACTATATATTGCAGAAAACAATCTAACAGGAGGTGTTCCCTCTACTTTTGGTAATTCTGTGCACCTGTAAATGGTATCAATGGGAATATACTTGAAATCCTGAGTCAATTGACAAACTTAAACTTTCTTGGATTGACGAAGAACAAGTTGGTTGGTACCCTTCCTTCCTCCATCTTTAATCTCTCTTCCATTACAACTTTTGATATAGTAGCGAACCAAATTCAGGCGACCCTTCCCTCAAACCTTGGAATTACGCTTCCTAATCATCAATGGCTAAACATTGCAGCAAACTTGTTTACTGGGTCCATTCCTATATCAATCACTACAAGAATTTTCACTTTTGGTGACTAAATTTTTAGTCACCAAAAGTCAATTTTTAGTTGCCGAAGGGCTTTAGCGGCTAAATTTTATGGTTGCAAAATTAGTAGCCGAAGAGTAGTCAGGAAAGCTAATTGGCGAGTCGCCAAATGTATTCATTTGTCGACTAAATAATTAGTCCCCAAAAGGTTTGGCATTAAATTAAATTAGACCCTTTTCGGTGACCAAACTTTTCGTCGCCTAAAGGCCAACCTTTTTAGCTACTAAAATTTTAGTCGGCAAAGAGTTCTTTTTTGGCTCCTAAAAATTTAGTCGCCGAAAGTCTCCATCTTTGGCTACTAAATGTCTAGTCTGCAAAGAGTTCCTCTTTTGGCTACTAAATATTTGGTAGCCTAAAGTTCTACATTTTTGGCTACTAAAATTTTAGTCGGCAAAAGTGTTTTTATAATTTAGTTTTTTGTTCTTAGCTACGAAATATTTTAGTCGCCAAATGTTTGATTATCTTTGGCTACTAAAGTTTTAGTCGCCAAATGTCTTTTTTTTTTTTGGCTACAAAACTTTTAGTCGCCAAATGTCTTTTCCCAATTTCTTTTTAGCTACTAATTGTTTAGTCGCCTAAAACATGATATTATGTTTTATCGGGAAATTATAATTTCTCCACAACCTGTCTATATATAATGCAACCTGTAATACGTATACAAACAAAATGATACATACTATCAATCATTCCACAATCTGCATCTATATACCAAAAATAAATAACATTAAATATCAAAGTCCATACAAATCAACTATTGTCCAAACTAAAATAATAATTCCATACAAAATATATCATACAAAAATTAAAGCCCTCCATATACAAAAAAAATACATTTACTACGAAGAGAAATTACCATTTGGCATGGTACAAATTACCATCGTAATCTATACCACAACAAAAGGTGATATATGTACCACGACAAAAGTTTTCTATGGACCATGACAAAACGTCCTATATGTACGCCGACAAATGGTAAATATGTACCACAACAGAAGGTGATCTATGTACCGCGACAGTCATTATCTGTTGATTGCCAAAAGTTTTCTGTATCAGTAATAATGAACTATACAAAAGCTGAGGACCACAAAAGTATTATATTAGTTCTACACAAAAGTGAAAAATTCTTCTCCATACAACAATATGGATTATCCACAAGTCCACGCAAAAAAGTCATCTACAAAGAGAAACAAAAAACGAAACATTAGAATTGGTTACAAAATATCAATTCAGTCAGCCATATGGAACATGTTATAACATGTATTTAAGGTAGAACAATCGAGAAATGTCTTCTTGGAAATAAAAGAAAGTATATATATATATATGTATCATGCAATATTTATTCTAACCAACTACACAAACAATGTAATAAGTAATTTCTTTGTCCTATAAATATATAAAGGCAATTATTAGAATATGTAGATGCTATTTTAATAAAGTTGTTGCTTTTTTAACAAAGTGATGCAAGTTTTTCGACTAAGTGTAAGGTGTATTCAGGGGTTGTTATGAATTTTCGCCCCCAGAAAGTCATTTTTCGACTAAGTTGAGGGCGTATTCAGATCTAACTCCCAACCTATGGGTCCGAATTACGTTCCGTCAGTTCTCACAAGTCCTATTTGTCATGGCGAAGCTATCTGTGTGAGCCACACGGTCGTTCAGGGGCCGTGATGAATTTTCGCCACCAGAAATTCCTTTTTCGACTAAGTTTAGGGAGTATTCGGCTCTAACTCCAAACCTACGGGTCCGGATTACGTTCTGTCAGTTCTCAAAAGTCCCATTTGTCATGGCGAAGCTATCTGTGCGAGCCACATGGTCGTTCGGGTGCTGTTTTGAATTTTTGCCCCCGAACCGCCCTTTTCCAACTAAGTATAGGGTGCATTTGGCTCCAACTCCCAATTTACGGGTCTGAATTATGTTTCGTCAATTCTCAAAAGTCCTATTTGTCATAAGGAAGCTATCCGTGTGAGCCACATGGTCGTTCAGGGGCTGTTTTGAATTTTCGCCCCCGAAACGCCCTTTTTCGACTAAGTTTAGGGCGTATTCGGCTCTAATTCCCAATCTACTGGTCCGACTTACATTCCATTAGTTCTTTCGAGTCTTATTTGTCATGACGAAGCTACCCGTGTGAGCCACACGGTCGTTCGGGGGCTGTTTTGAATTTTCGCCCCCGAAATGCCCTTTTTCGAGTAAGTTTAGGCCGTATTCGGCTCTAACTCCCAACCTATGGGTTTGAATTACGTTCCATCAGTTCTCACAAGTCCTATATGTCATGGGGAAGCTATCCGTGTGAGCGACACGGTCGTTCGGGGGTTGTTTTGAATTTTCGCCCCTAAAACGACTTTTTCGACTAAGTTTAGGGTGTATTCGGCTTTAACTCCCAACCTACGGGTCCGAATTACGTTCCGTCAGTTCTCACAAGTCCTATTTTTCATGGTGAAGCTATCCGTGCGAGCCACACGATCGTTCGGGCGATGTTTTGAATTTTCGCCCCCGAAACGCCCTTTTTTGAGTAAGTTTAGGGCGTATTCGGCTCTAACTCCCAACCTACGGGTCTGAATTATGTTCCATCAGTTCTCATAAGTCCTATTTGTCATGGCGAAGCTATCGGTGTGAGCCACATGGTCGTTTGGGGGCTGTTATGAATTTTCACCCCGAAAAGTCCTTTTTCGACTAAGTTTAGGGCGTATTCGGCTCTATCTCCCAACCCACGGGTCCGAATTACATTTCGTCAGATTTCACAAGTCCTATTTGTCACGGAGAAGCTATCCGTGTGAGCCATACGGTCGTTCGGGGGCTATTTTGAATTTTCACCCCCAAAACGCCCTTTTTCAACTAAGTTTAAGGCGTATTCGGCTCTAATTCCCAACCTACGGGCCCGAATTACGTTCTGTTAGTTCTCACAAGTCCTATTTGTCATGGTGAAGCTATCTACGCATGCCACACAGTCGTTCGGGGGCTGTTTTGAATTTTCACCCCCCTGAAATGCCCTTTTTCGAGTAAGTTTAGGGCGTATTCGGCTCTAACTCCCAACCTACGGGTCCGAATTACGTTCCGTCAGTTTTCACAAGTCCTATTTCTCATGGCGAAGCTATCCATGTGAGCGACACGGTCGTTTGGGGGCTTTTTTGAATTTTCTCCCTCGAAACACCTTTTTTGACTAAGTTTAGAGCGTATTCGGCTCTAACTCCCAACTTACGGGTCCGAATTACATTCCATTAGTTCTTACAAGTTATTTTTCATGGAGAAGCTATCCATGCAAGCCACACGGTCGTTCGGCGGCTGTTTTACAATTTCGCCCCTAAAACGCCCTTTTTCGACTATGTTTTGAGCATGTTCAGCTCTAACTCCTAACCTACAGGTCCGAATTACGTTCCATCTGTTCTCACAAGTCCTATTTGTCACGGCGAAGCTATCTGTGTGAGCCACATGGTCGTTCGGGGGCTGTTTTGAATTTTCGCCCCCGAAATGCCCTTTTTCAACTAAGTTTTAGGCATATTCGGCTCTAAATCCCAACCTACGGGTTTGAATAACATTCCGTTAGTTGTCAAAATTCCTATTTGTAATGGAGAAGCTACCCATGAGAGTCACACGGAGGTTCAGAGGCTGTTTTGAATTTTCGCCCCTGAAACGCCTTTTTTCAACTAAGTTTTAGGCGTATTCGTCTCTAAATCCCAACCTACGGGCCCGAATAACGTTCCGTCAGTTGTCACAAGTCCTTTTTGGCATGGGAAAGCTGTTCGTGTCGGTCACACGGCGGTTCGGGGGCTGTTTTGAATTTTTGCCCTCGAAACGCCCCTTTTTGACTAAGTTTTGGGCACATTCGTCTCTAAATCCCAACCTACAGGTCCGAATAACATTCCGTCAGTTGTCACAAGTCATATTTGGCATGGGGAAGCTGCCCGTGTCAGCCAC